GAACTATCTCTAACAAACAGGGAGACAACATTTCTGCACGACTGGTTGGTTTTCTGAGTTGTAAACGGAAGTCAAGCAAAACTCAAGACCACAAAGCGGGGAGAATGATTGCATGAAGCCCCAAGTCCAGGGAGTAGGATTACAGAGAATAAATGTTACCCATATGTTTCATGAAGATACTGCGTCACAGTGATATTGAGAACCCTAGTCGAATCACATGACAGATATGTTAATCTGTAGACGTGAGAAGATGGAAAGAAAGCATAAACCGTGCAACTTGAGGTAGTAGCCTCCTGTCTTCAGTGTGATTGCAACAGCACGTCAGCATTGTGCACCAATGCCGTAGTACAATTTAACCCCCCGGTAAGCCGTTGAACACGAACTGGGTGATAGTGCGAAAGCGCGGGTCGGGTGCTGGACTCGGGATTCAGAGATTGCATGTCAGACATGTGATCGACTAGATCAGTGCGGTGTACCACAAGGTTCAATGCTAGGAACAGGCCTATACTTGGGTTTTATAAGTGATTTCTTATTCTTCGCAGACGCTATCAGGGTATGACAGACAATCACTTGACCGGACGACAACAAAGGGAACCAGCGCGATCTTAACACAATTATGAACAGGTCAGTTTAGGATGTAGAGAAAGGTCGAGTTGTTCAACTTCGCTATACCTATGGGGGACATAGATTGCAGACCAGTTTATAGAAACGCGACCTTGGCGTGCTCGTATAGAGTGACCTCAACCATTCAAAATAGGCTGCGAAGTACATTCGTGTTTTGACTCATCAACCTTCCCGGTGGTGCATAACTCTTATGTGCGCCCTCACGAGAAATGCGCTAAGTTTGGTGAGCTTGATTGAAACGCGAACAATAGGCGCTATAGACACCACAACGCAAAGCAACAAACCACATTAAGGTCTATGTAATCTGTCTTACCAGTAAAGGCTAAAGTCGTGGGGACTATTCAGTGGACGCCAACGGAGGCTACGTGATGATCTCATGTTAGTGGCCCCAATTACGTATGCTACCATGTGCCGGAACTTAGCTACAACATCAAGCTCAGAGGTGACTACCTGATACTGAGTGAACAATACAGGCGTCTAGTGTCGACGAAATTAATTTCCTCTTCGAGTATGCCAAGCTTGGAATTCTCTCCTGAACTCAACTGTCCCCTTCCTTACTACTTTGGGTACTTTCATAAAAACGATTGGATATTGCTCTTAGCTTCAAGCGCTTCGTTATCTTAACGGTGCCACGGTGGAATATGACTATCGTGCCCTCATATCACGTTTATGTGTCACGTGACTGTGGGTTCAAATGTTATTTTTCTCACATATTGTTTTGTACCTTTGTACGTATTCCCATTTTACAATTGTGTTACTCAGCAAAGTATGCAACTCGTTAGACGCTTAAAAAGTAAACTCACATATTGCTTGGTTTTGTAGTTTTAAGGCTAACCATCCTGCGGGACTTGTCAAGCACCTGCTTTTTACTTGTGATAAATCATTATCCACCGATCAAAGATTCAATCGCTAGTATCGCATGCTTATGAAGAAAAACTTCATCGATTAGTTCATTGTGATATTTGTTTCCGGTATCTCTGTCACCTGTACCTGCACAAATAAGCCCTGAGGGAGAAAACAGAGGCTTGCGAATGAAAAATGAGCTGTTCCTCGGGGTTAATAACTCACAATTCGCCAGCGTAGGCTGGTGAATTCGCATGACAAAACCCTATGGAGATAAAAATAGGACCAGTGACTGGTGATCTGACGCAAGATGCGCGTAGGTATGTGAATTTGCAGATATTTAATCCGAGCAGAACCGGTAATTGAGGTGATGGTGAAAAATAGAGATCGCATGGTGTGCAACCAGATCGGATACACTAAGAATGGATAAACGTTTAGCAAAAGATAACACAAAGTACGATTAAGTAACCGGATTTAGCCGATTCAGGGTGAAAAAGAGCAGTTTCAGAAAAGAGTAAGCCCCAGAATCGGCAAACCAGAGGGCCACTCAACACTTATATTTTACTAGAATCGAATGTTGTCTAAAAAGCAATTTCATCAACAGCCCCTCGGCGCGTGTTCAGTGCTGCGCGTTTCAACAAGTCAAGCATTAAAAACATTTGGGGAGCAATGAAGGGGAAAAGCGAAGCGATCAGGCAAGGGCATGGTTTCAAGGAGGAAGAAAAGAAAGATGTGCTCAAAGCACACTCAAGTTGCCAAAATTAATGACGAAGGTGCCCTATGTTCTCGCCTCACCGGGGTGTTATTGCTGGCAGCTATCCACTCTCCTTTTCCACTGTCTTTAAGTAGTGAAAAACATCTTCCATCAATCGCCCACCCACGCTGGTTACAAATGTGCTGATTACTTGGCCGTTGTGAGGTGCAGATGGTCCCGGTCCCTTATCTCAAAACTCTTATGAATGTTGTAGGATAGTATTTTGTTTCTCTTGTGCACAGAGGATGCCAGTTGTCCCAAGTACCACCTCTGACCAATGGATGAACTAACAAGGTATACGGAAACAAATAAGCGCTACATATTTTGGCTTTTAGCCCTAAATTTATCCCAGTAATTTTAACCGCTGCATCGTCGAAGAAATTTTTAATAAGTTTCTTTGATTTTGCATATAATTTTGAAGCATGTTTTTCGCACTATCATTAAGGATAATTCAGCTCAATAACCAGTTTTAGACTTTTAACGAAATGCACCAGAAACAGCTGGTAATATTAAAACTACATTTGGTCCTGGAACCACTAACGGCTGTACTTCACAATGGTGGTTTCCAAAATTTCGAACAGTTCACGAGAGGGTTGGAGATGAAAGGCGTTGTGGACGGCCATTGGAAACAAAACAACGATAAACTAAGGGCTTTAGTTGAAGCGGATCCGAGTAAAACGGTTTCAGATCTTGCTCATAAGTTGGCAGTATTGTATGTGACAGTTGTTAAACATTATCGGGAGATTGGAGTGCTGAAAAAGTTTGATAAGTGGGTGTCACATAATGTGAATGAAAATCAAGGAAATAAATAAATAATAAATGGGATATTCTCGGTAAAACGGGACACACCCGTGAAGGTGCGATCAAATATGCATACAAGCATAGCTTCTTTGGAATAGTTTTCACGAAAGGTATAACCGAAAAGATGTAGTCCATACGTGTGAGCATTTTGTCAGGTAATAGTCTGACCAAGGAACATGATGGCGTTGGGGCGCGTAAAAATCACTCATAACGGTTGTGTCAATATTCAAGTTCGGCGTGATTTTGTCATGTTGTAATCCATGAGCACAGGAACCAAGAGAAGATTTTGGTGCAATCAAAGTCCATCAAAAAATCGGAATGTTCTGTGCTCCATCCGAGCATTCTTCATAGCAAAATCAATTGCACACGTTGTATGATGACTGCGTCAGTATGAAATGTTCAACTATGACTTTACTCAGTGGAGAGTCACATCCGCCACGTTGCAGTGTTGTTAAGCGGATATTTGTGGCTTTTTATAGGTAGAACGCTTGCCAGGCGAAAATGCACCACGTCCTGGAACACTGCCGTAGCTTTCGTTGAACAGTTGTGCTAGCCAGCGATGCATCGTACCGACCTATTTTTCACTCTATTATTCGTAGTCGGTTGACGGTCAAATTTCATCGTTGGTTGACCGATTAGCTTGGTACTGATCCGGCAGTCTTTGTTGAAACCGGTCAATGATGCAAAAGAGTTGTAAAGTTGAACGCAGGCGAGTAAAAACATTGTTAATAGAGGCTGGCTTTTTCTGTTATATACTTGTCCGGTTCGCAGACCGTGTCCAACTATCCACGCTAGACTTGTCATGGGGATATTGAGTGCAGTTTTAAAGTGTCGTCCGCAAATCTACTGCGCAATAAAAAGTCATGTTGCTCCACTGGACTGTGACGTGCAATGAGATGTGGATATTATAAAACAAATGAAGATGCACTGGACGAGCAACCACCATAACACTTCTCAAGGCGCAAATTGCATCAAAAAGCGTTATGTTGACTGTATGGTGGTCCGTGCTTAGTCTAATCCATCACAATTTGCTGAATTCAAGGGAATCAATTAGGACAAAGAGGTAATGTCAACAAGTTGCCGAAACGCACCGAAAACTTCAGCAAATATACACGGCGCTAGCCAACAGAAAGGGGCCAATTATTCTACACGATAACGATCGGCCGCACGGTGCACGATCAACTGTGCGGAGGCTTCAGGAGTTGGGCTATGAAAATTTGCCTCACTCACCATACTCCTCTGGCCTACCGTCTAGCGAGTACCACTTTATCAAGTGTCCAGGTAAGTTCCTCCGAAACAAATACTTTAAAGCCCAAAGAGATGCTGAAACCGCATTCGATGAGTCAATCGGCACCATAACTTTGTACTTTTATTCATCCGGGTTAGGCAAACTACCATCCCTTTGGGAAAAGCGTAACAATTCAAATGGCATTTATTTCGATTAAAAATGTTACACGATTCGAATTAAATGCATTTAAACTTTAAGATCTAAAACACAGCAACCGTAGTAACAACCTAGTACTTAGCCCTTCTTTGGTTACATTATCTGACCTTCCTTCCAAAAGTATACTGCCAGTACGGTCGATAAAACTTAATTCCGAATTGACTAGGAAGCGATTGTCGAGTTCCCATTCGTATCATTTTTAGGATCACAAACGACCTTCATCAAACACTGCACGGTAAGTTATCCCGACGCTCAATCTCTTCCTTATACGTGCACCGAAATTCGAGTTTTATTTTACCCCACAACATCGCAAAATATTTCCGTAGTAATACATTTTTGACGCCTACATGCTAACAAAATGTTACTCGTCAAAGGGATCGACACGTGTTCACAATTCGTACAATCACTGCATTTTTGAGAATAGTATGTCCACACTTCCGCAAGCGATTAGGGAAATTGCTGAAAGCCGAAAGCCTACCATGACTTGAGTTGGCGTTCCCAAAGCAGCAATACATTGGTTGGGAAGTAATCCCATTAGGGGATTAACAAAATCATACATGAAGCTTTGAAGGAACCCACTTTGATTTCCTCCACAGTGCGACCCGTGAATCGGCCCTCAATGATAACTTTCTCCAAACAGCTTAACAAATCGGTGTGGTCACCAACCATGGACAGATCAAGCTCTGGCTCCGGATCCAATGTCGGCAGGAGATTGTTCATCACCTCGTTCACCACTGAATCGATGCGTTGTTGTCGGACAACATCATCACAAGTGACAAAATCTTCTTGTTGTTCCACCGTTCGAGTTGAACTTAGAGAAGAGGATGTGGCATACAAATGAAGCTCGCCACCAGAAAAGGACAAATGATGATCAAACCACCGGAAACGCCTGTCAAAACCAGCAATAGACCAAAAACTCGGATCCGCGAAACAAGCAGGCGCTTGGCACAATCGATTCAACAATGAGCGATTGAGCAAGCCTTTGGGGGCATTTTTCTTCACTTGTTGGGCGATTTCGCCAGCATCCGGTAATTCCAGGGTAGATGTATTACTATAATATTGATCAATAACTACAAAAGAGAAACGAAACGCTTCAGTGTCAGAAGAGTTTTGTACTAATCAAAACAAAGTCGGGCGACAGAAATAGGTTCCGACAACGTGTAAAGAGAGACGAAGAGGAGATAAAAGAAGTGGAGGTGGGCAGACACTCCATCGCTCTAGGCCAGTGGTTCCTAATCTTTTTGCGGCTGCTACCCCTAAAGCGAGTTCAATATATAGACAATCACCTACAAAGAATTTGGTTGTAAAAACAGGCTAACTACTAGCTATCGCACATTTTTGCTTAAAATTATAGTGAAAAAATGCTGCTTGCAGTGAATTACAAAAATTCAAACAAATGAAATGCCTGCTTTTGACAAAATGTTGCTATTAAGATAAGGCAATGTAAGATAAGGCAATGAAACTTTGGTATCACAAAGTATCAATAACGTCTTTAACATTTGGTGCGATGAAATAGGTACCCCACTTCTGTTTTCCTTATCATTATTCTGAAAATACACCTTCACATCCAGAAATAGTGGCGATTGGAATCCGTATTTGTAACGCCTTTTTTGATCATAATGAATACTCGCCACCAACACGTCTCCAACCTGTTGTTGCTTGTGTGTTTTGAATACATATTTTTTCAGTTTGTTGCATTTGCTAAACCCAAGGAAGTATGCTTTGGCTTCAATTTTAGGTTACGTCATTTGTTACTTGAAGTAGTCCAATTCACGAATAAATCACTAATGAGTTGTCACCAATGACTAATCACTAGTGATTAGGTACTTAGTAGGATGATTCGACACAAATGATTTGGTTAAGAATTTCGCCTTTCGAAAGAGTGATGACTGAGTCTTTGTACTTATATTTACTTCATTGTAAACTCCCATTATACCCCATTTGGGCGCAATTACTCCCAGGTTGGGAACCACCACTCTAGGCATAATGATTTTTATCGAAGACAGCTGGTTCAGTTGATTAATCATCCTTCATGTGGTTAATTCAGTTGGAATAACTTACACAGTAACATAAAAAGAAGAAAAACGGTAAAAATAAAAGATAAATATTAAATGTCGCCAGTCGCAACACTTCTTCATAGTCGACTGAACTCGTCAGGTAGAGGCAGTGGCTAGTAGCTGGTTACAGAAAAGCGGTAGAATTGAGATGTAACAATAAAATCAGAGGATGGGTCAAAATTGGGGTCAGAGATACACAGCAGTTCCATGTGAATTACCTGCTTCTATTGCCTCGTCCGGGATGAATGTGATGTCAGTCAGATGAAAGTACATCTTCAGGTCAACAACCTGAAAGAATAGGGAAAGATATTTGAGAGTTGGTATGAGTTCAACTCATTTTAATCACATAAAAGGCAAGAAAACGACAAAAGTCGTAGTAGTTGGCGATGATGTGATTTGCAAGTAGGCTGCAAGAGTTAATTAAAATTTTTGTAAGTGTCCAACATTCCGGGGGTTTAGACAAGAAACGGTTAAAAGTCACACACCCTGTAAAATGAGAGAGAGGGGAGCCAATGGGCCATACATTCGTCGTCCGCGACAAAGAACAAAGAATCCCACAATCAGGTAGACTTTCGAGGCATTCTGTTTTTATTAATAAAACAAGCGTTGCTGAACCGCAGTCTAGATCGCAATGATCTGTAGGACAGGGTTGACGTTGCCTGCTAGTGGAACATAGTACTAGATGAGCCAGCGAGCACTGGGTAGATTAGATCACGTTGAACCCACTGCATGTAGGTAAAAGCAAAACTTTAGGTAGATATCTGGTCACAAATAGATGGGAAACAATTTCGGAGCGAATAGATTCAGAATGTTATAGGATGGCAGCTGATATCAATAAGATGTCTGCATGCAACGATCTAGCATCTGCAAGTACTACTGATGATAAAAGGACCTAGGAAGGCGGCGTTCAAACCAAACGCTGCAGTCGGAAGATAGAGGGTACTGCCACTAACCTCCTAAAAGGGCGTCAAATGACGAATACCTTAAAATAATGCATACCAGCGAGCAAATCGATGTAATTCGTAGGAGTTCAAGCGAGAAGAAATAAGGAAAATGCGTCGACAGTATAAAACCACTCTACACAGATGACTCGCTGCTATGAAAACCAAAACCGTTGTGCACTGGTTGGGAGTACGGCGCTCAGGCAAGACCAAGAGGAAGGACATGGGCTCAAAACCTGGGAGGGTAATCAGTATACATACACAGTAAGATGATGGAAGGGAGCCGCTGAACCCATGGACAAATAGCTACGTGACGAATTTTAGTGTCGCGTGATGAAGGATAAGTATCGTACACTTGTACTTAAACAGTCTAAAGAAGAACGTTCGAGGGCACATCTTAGCTCTGATGCCATCCGTTTTACCATTTCACACGATGACGCGTAACCTACCGAAAAAGCATAATTGGTGCCGGGCTTCGATCAAATGTTTGTAACTGCAAGGTGACGTGTTTATTCATGGTAGGTAGTGACCACTCGTTGCAAATGTGTTTTACAACTGGTTTTCCTTTTCGTACGTCGTTGCCTCGCGAGTCATATTCCAGTGGCCTGATGTCGCTCCAGCTGTGATACATTGTTCTAGAGATGGCTAAGCACTACTGGCTTCTACATGAGCCAGTCGGGTGCCTGCAGCCTAACCCCATTCGATCGATGTTGCTTGCTTGCAAAGTTAATCGACACCGATGGTATTTAACCGGTGACTGAATCATTAAATAAATTCCCGCCGCTGGTTCACTGACAAATTTTACCGAAAGATACAACAACAACAACAACAACAACAACAACAACAACAACTGCTACTACTACTACTACCAAGTATCCTCCATCAATGTTTATGATCTGCTCTCTCAATCAAATTATCAATCTCAGGTGGATAGATATGGCGGGGTCTGGACTGGAAGTTGTTGAACATCTCTAAGGTTCTTGATGTGAACCGAACGCCGTGGCGACCATGATGAAAAGAACAGTTTATCGTAGGGGGGATTAAAGCCTTATACTATGATGACAGGACAGTGAGTAATGGAACAATCCACTGGCACATCCTCACCATCAATGACAGCAGTACATCAGGCGTTGAGGTCCTACCTGGCGAAAACAGTTGATCATCAGTACATAGACGATATCGTCTTGCTATTTGACGATGTTGTGGTGGCACAATCAACCCTGAATAACCTCTCTAGTGTGGTCCCGTTATTTAGTATGCGCTTCGCACCTTCAAAGTGCAAAGTGTTGCTGCAGGACCACCAGCCACTTTATGATCCCTGGACCCTTGATAACGAGGAACTCGAGGTGGTTGATCGATTCGCTTACCTTGCCAAGTGGATCAGTAACTATGGGCGCTTAGAAACGGGAGTCAGTTCACGCATTGCAAAAGCCAGAACTGGGTCTTTGAAAGTGCGACATATTTGGCGACAGAAAGGAGTTTCCCCCCGTTTGAAAGATCGTGTTTGCAAGGGCACAGTGAGAGCCGTCCCACTCCATTGGATTGAGAATTCTCCCCTTCGACCTGAAGATCTGAGGCGCCTTCAAATCTTTGATTATCACTGTCTGCAGAGCATTGCTGGTGTCCGGTATCACCAGCGTGTCCGGAACGATAATTTGCATAGGCGAGTGTTAGGCCATGACACCCAAGCTAGTTCCTCAGAACAACAGGTAGCACTGAATAAGTTGCATTGGCTTGGGCACGTGCTACGTATGTCCGGTCACCGCTTACCTAAGAGGGCCTTGTTTAGTCTGCCAGGTGTAGGGTGGCGCAAGACCCGAGGTGGACAAAAGTTAAGTTGGGAACGGGAAATGAAGTCACTGACGATCAAATTGGAATGGGGTCCAGATGACTCGCCTTGTGCTTGGCTTGGGACTTTACAGGACATGGCTCGTGGCCAAAACCAGTAGCGTGTGTGCTGCCGTCTCCTACTCGGATTGCCTGTTTAAAGTGTGTTTGGTGTTGAGTTATCTGCTGGGTGTCATGGCTAATTATGACGCGGGGCAATGAAATCCGCAAGAAAGCTGTCTCGCCGATGCCGCCCTATCTTTGCACGATAGCCAACTGCTTGTGACCATATTTTAGTAACACAAGGTGTAAGCGCCTTGAACCGGAATGTTTGCTTAGGGCATTAAGGTTTTCCGTCAAGTCCGCTTTCTCCCCCTCCTATTATTCGTTATCCCATAGGTCAACATGGTTGTATAGCAGCTGGCTAGCCGAACAACCTCCTCGTGGTGACAGTTGGGTTGGTCGGGTTCATCCCGTTCCAGCAAATAGTTCGGCGGTAGTGTTCCAGGACGTGGTGGGTTTTCGCCTGGCAAGCGTTCTCCCTATAAAAAGCCACAAATGTCTGTTTAACAACACTGTGACGTGGCGGATGTGATTCGCCACCAACTAAAGTCACCACATTGCTTACCCGGACAACTGGTTCAAGTCCACAGACATCAAACATCCAGTTAGAACTGGTGACACGATCAAAAGCGCATGAAAACGTCTACAAATACTATAAACAGCTACATACGCCTACATGCACACATTCATATATCAACATATGTGACAACCCTATCGTTCCATTGGCATTAACTGACCACATTTTGTACTCTTAACATGATCATGCCGGTGCAGGCGTGTCTCGCTTAGTCGAGAATAAAAATTTTATTTAATGGCTGATGTACTGTTGTTGTTGTTGTTTATCTTGTTGTTGATTTTGTTAGAACTGATGCTTCGTTGTTGCACAACCACGGTGACCTACGGAATGAAGCATAATAACAGGGAGAGAAAGGGGACCTAGCAAACATACAGGATCAAGGCACCAACGCATTGATAACAACAAATCGTCGCAGACAGCTGGCCATCATGCAAAGATAAGGCGGCATCAGCGAGACAACTCCCTTTCGGCTTTCACTGCCTCGCGTCATAATCAGGCATTACACCCAGCAGATAACTCAGCACCAAACATAATATAGATAGGCAGTCCGATTGGGAAATGACAGTAGAGACGCCACTGGTGACGACTGCGAGCCATATCCTGTAACCTCTCGAATCAAGCACAAGGCGGGTCATGTGGACTCCAGCCTGGAAGGCGAAACGGACCAACAGTACACAGTTTGGTCGTCAGTAACTTTATTTCCCAGCGACAATCTAACTTTCCCCTACCTCGAGTCTCGCAGCACACTACATCTGGTAAACAAAACAAGGTCCTCCTCGGTGGCCGGGCATATGTAGCAGATGCCAAAGGCAACGCAACATATTCAGTGCTATCTGCTGTTCTAAGGCACTAACCTAATTAGCACAGCTTAGCAATCGCATACGCACATAATCGTTGCGGACACGTTGATGCCATCCGACACCAGCAATGTTTCGCAGGCAGCAAGGATCAAAGACTTGATAGCGTCGCAGATCCTCAGATCAAAAGGGCCAAGTGTCACCACCATAAAGGAGGACGGCCCTCATCGTGGCCGAGGGAAACTCTCTTCTGACGCCATAGACGTCGTAGGTTCCGAAAGTCAGTTCCAACTTTTGCAATACATGAACTAAATTCAGTATTTATGCGCCCATCGTTGCTGATGCCGCTGCCAAGATAATTGAATTGAGCAACTACCTCGAAATCCTCACTATCAAGAGTCAAGAGGTACCAAGCGGCACTTAGAAGGTGCGAAGGCATGCCAGATGATGATGGACTGGGCCAGTCCAACATGATTAAACAGCCAGATAATACAGTCCGCATGATTAAGATGACGTTTTTCACCGGGTAGCATATCAACGCCTGCGTCGTGAGATCCTGCAAGGGAACACTCCGTGATGGAAACCACGAAGAAGTTGGATAAAAACGGAGAAATTGGACAATCATGATAAACGCCATTTCTTGTCGGAAAGACATCCGACAAGTCACCGTAGACCCTGACACGTCCTGTGGTGTTCGAGTACAGGGCATGTAAAATGTTAACATATTTCATTGGGACAAATTTCCGCACAGGTTTTTCGAACAAAATGCATTGATCGACTAAGCCGAACGAACTCTCGAAATCCAGGGACACACCCATTGTCGGTCTGCGTTAGGTGTGGCGCTGTTCTCACATCTGCTGCAAAGTGAATATGTGATCAATACTGTCGTTTCGTAGTCGGAAACCGGTCTGATTATCTGGTACCACAGTGAGGCGACGAAGGAGAATTGAGACTAGTAATTTTGTCACCACCGGCTTTAGATTAATACCCCCTGTACTTGATGTGGCTGCTCTTCTTGTAGATTGTCACTACAGTCAATTCACTCCAGTGCTGTGGGATGGCCTCTGCCTTCCAGACCTGTTCGAACAGGGGGACGAGTGCTTTGCAGAGGACCTCATCACCATTCTTAAATAGTGCGGATGCGAGGGAATTCGGATCAGCAAATCTGTGATTGCGGTTCGGAAACAGCCTCCAGCGAAACCTCTAAACTGACCGGCCATGGCTCAATCTGCACCAGTGAGTATGAAGGGTTCTAGGAGCAGGGAGCTAACAAAACCGTTCTAGCAAGTGTTGCGGCCAATGAGCCATACAACGCTCCTTAATGTGAATCGGGACGCCCGTGTTGTCGCCGATGGTCTCAATAACGCTTGGTTTCCTGGGACCAATGGTGCGGATTAGTTGAAAGGGCTTGCGGTAACTGCCTACAGTTCCCGCTTGCTCCATTTCATGAACCCTACTGGTCACCCAGGCTTCCTGGTCAGCACACAGGCTCCGTTTTAGTTCGCGCCTAATAGTCAACCTAGTTGCACTGTGATCAGAGTCAGCCGGGAGTTTTCTTCTGGATTCCAACATATTCACTGACTTTTCGGATATCCAGTGACTCGTGCTGTGACGAGTGATAGTGTCGCAAGCAGAGGTTCCAGCGTTGTGCATGGTAGCCGAGCTTCTTTTCCACTAAAGCTCAGTGTCATCAAGGCAAGGGAGCGAAAGTTCGGTACGCAGTGCATCCTAGTAGGCTTACCTGACCGAGGGTTGAGATAACCTCTCAGTTGTAAATAAAGGGAGGTGCTTGGTACGCCTCCCAGTAAAGGTCATGGCAAAACGACAGGGAACAAAAGCATGATCAAAGTCGACGCAAGTAGTTTAAAACGAGCGGCAATACTGGATGGAATCAGGCCACTTGTAACTTATGACAATGTGATCAAGCTGGGTCCATCGCTGGCCAGCTATAGGGGGACGCCTACTATGGTTGTTGTATTGTTTCGCCTGCAGTACTGCTATCCACAATCTGCTCTGTCTGGCGTCCAATCCAACCGCGAAAACCAAAAGATAAGCCTTAGTAGACTGTGTATTTTATGAAAAGAACAGTTCCATGTATACGTCAACCATTTACTCCAGTTGTGGAAAGAATGATCCCCGCATCTTCGACGTTTTGGCCTCAACCAATATGTACGCATTCCACATGACTGGTTTGCCATATTTGGGTGTTTATCAGTGTCGAGGCACGGTCTTCGTTCACTCAGTCGATGCCCACGCGAGTTTGTCAGCCAGTGGCATCGCGGCTTCTCGCACATCCTACGTGAAGCCGCTCACACTGTCAGCGCAAGGCCTAGGGTCGTAACGCTGTGCGCAGTGTTTGCTCAATTTGATCGCCTAACGGTGGTGCTACTAAGAAACAGCCGGTGCTCCGCGCGCTGTTGCAACAGACGCTCCCGGTTGTCCGTCTGGTCGGAGTTAAGTCCATAAGTACCAACTAACTGATCGTCTGAACAGCCCAGACGCATTCATATCCCCTGACAGTATGCAGAGAAATTTGCCCGAACATGAGACGTGCAATACCTTGGTGTTAACGTATTTTATGAAAATTTCATCGGGAAAGAGTTGATTCGGATAGTTGAGGACAATGTGAAGCAGCGTGTTCATGTTCTTGTTGGAAGGTAGCCTTGGAAGCATCAGAACTGCAGAAGGTGTGGACATAAACGAAAACCATAAATACGTCGTGAATCAAGTATAGCTGAGGTCAAATAGACCGCATAAACGGATGTACACAGGAACCCAATCAACTAACAACGATTCGGCCTTAGCGCTGAGAACAATGCCCACCCCTGCTTGACCAGTGGTTGCCGCATCAGCGTCTCCAGATGCGCGCAGTAGCTAGCAAGAGGACAAGCCGGGCGCAGTTAGTTCAACAACCACGTGAGAACCATTGAGCTTAATTTCGGACACACAACACACGTGCAGCCTGTTGACATATTTGTCTTAGAGTGCGAAGGTTGAACGCCGCCAACGAAACGAGACAGCGTAGCCTTATGGTGAGCTGTTGCCGATAGGCGTCCAGTGGGTGGGGCGGGAAGATAGCTGCAGCTGGCGGAACTGCAGTGGTATTGCGGCTGCTGTCAATTAAGCTAGGAAGAAGAAGATTAGTAATGGGGGTCGGGAAGGGAGTAAGAGAAACAGGAGAGAATGAAAGAAGGGAAGCGCCAGCTGTAGCATGTTTTCGCTTATCCGCTTATCCGTATGCAGCAGATAAGGCGACATTGTAAATGTGCGCGACGGCCGATGCAGCATGTGGTTGAAGTTTGAGGAAATAGTTATGGTTGTACGTGGGCTGAGATACTGTCAATGTGCCAGACCTAGAAAGGAGCATGATTAGGGTCCTCAATCAAAGCGTTTGGCTCCAAAACCTGTCCGCAAGGCAGTGGGGAGATGGCAGTGATTTAATTTTACAGTAATTGACGCCATCCCATTTGCAACCCTTAACCTAAACAACCTGGAAACTGAGTTTGTCAGAGATCTATTCGTTGACCAAGCTAATAGGAGTAGCTCTCGAGGAGCCCGGGGCCCCCACAGAGTATACCTCGAATAGACGAAGAAATACTCAAACCATCGTACCACGTTGAGATCCAGCCGCGTTGCTAAGGGATAAAAAGGCAAGGTGGTGTAGTTAAAATTTCGGTCACCTTAGAATAAGATTCGGACGCATAAATCTCACCCAAAATTCAATGTACAGACATGAAAGGAGATTTGTAAATGATAGAAAATTCTCTTGAGATGTAATGAGGGTAATCAGAACGGTAAGAAAGGAACGGAGGCGCCAAATTTCAGCGCTTGACTCTACGAGAGATAACAAGATTCAATAAATGGAACAAGTTACGATTAACAACCTGGATTAAGGAGTTAGACTAACGATTAGATCGGACGAGCAAATATATCCATGTCATGAGTTGCACGTTTTAAAAGAGTAGCCTTCACGCCTGTGGTTACACAGGGCTCATTGGTTGCGTGTTCTGAACCACTCTCACGGCTTCAGCCACGCAATCCGTATCCGTTGTAAACTTGAACAGATAAGGTCGGGAGGTATGTGAATGGTGGTCAGCATCAATCTGCATCCGGACCGCGCCCTTGGATTACAAGACGGGCTTGTGATCCTTAAGGAGAAAACTGCATTCCAAGCAACAAAAACACACGGAGCGATGGTTGAGTAGTAGTCGGGTTTATGGCGGAGTCACCGTTTGAGAGCGACAGTCAAACGAGGGCCGCGCACCCCGTCCTCCAAACAACGGCATTCTGGAGGCAGTAATCGTACGAGCAGACACTAAGTCAACAGCTACATCCAGCATAGCACAGATTGATACATTATGGAGCGTCAGAAGAAAGTACTAATGCGCCAAGGGCGAACAGTAATACATAAAAGAGCAACACGAATGTTGAATCGGTAATTCAGGGACCACAAGAACAATCTAACACAAGGCAAACGCCCGAAGGCCACGGGTAGGAATGTTACAATAAGAACCACGAAGGCGGTTGGTGAAGAAGAATGTCCGGGAAGACATTCGTGCGTGCTCGTCATCCAAAAAGAATAACTCATCGCATCTTTTAGGTACTTACATCACGACTCATCGGTAAAGGTCAGACACATTTTAGTCAATAACGCATAGATAAGCCAAAGCAAACAAAGCAAAATCGTCAATGGGGAGTCTTCTTTTAAAGAATTTAAAACATTGCGTTCGCTTTATCCGCTTCGGTATTGCAGAAAGAAGACAAATGTTGCGAGATGTTAACATTTCGATTGTTCTTCTCAAGCACAAACACAATACATGCAAAATGTAAACGTATGAGTATACGTGAAACTAACGTTCATGAACAGGATGCAACAAAAGTATCAACGCCACGACAACCTAATAGATTGCCTCCAATATTTCTGTGCGCACAGAGTTGGACGATTCTTCGTGATCAACAGTGCTTCGCCTATGGTCAATTGTTTTGGATTTTTATCCCGCAGGAGTATTTTGAAAGCGGTCGATATGTCCACGCGAGTTGTCGGAAAGTCTGGCTTCTCATGTAATCTACTAGTTCACCTGCAGTCGCGGTGACGTATACATTGGCAGGACTGATGGCGGCTGGCCCAAAGCGTGGCCGAATACCTCCCAAGTTGGTTAAAGTAGTCGATGTCACAACAAGGCGGAGTGGACCAGGCGATAAAGCGGAACCCTGCTTCATCTATCGCAAAGCATCTCGTGACGACTAGCCATCACGTGGACATATCGACCGCTTTCAAAAGACGTCTGCAGGAGAAAAATTAAAAACGGTTAATTATAGGCGTAGCATGTTGATAATGAAGCATCGTCCAACAATGTGCGCACAGAAACAATTGAGGTAATCTATTAGGTTGTCGTGACGTCGGTTCTTTTGTTGCATCCTATTCATGAATGTTAGTTTCACGTATACTCACACCTAGGTGTACTCTCGCGCTACGATTTGAAGTCCGTAGACAACACGAACACGTTATATCGTAACGGACGGTACATGCTTCGGCACATGGTCTGAATGGTTGCCACTTGCCTCTTCTCTTCCATCATTAGACCAATGCTAGAGTACGGTTCACCCGCCTACTTTTCGATTACCAAATGCGAGGCACAAAATATCGTACGGGTCCAACACGTTGCTACCAGGCTCATCCCGAGGTTACGTGGCTTAGGATATGAAGGCCGGTGCGAGAAATTAGCACTCTACGCCTTGTCCTACCATCAGGTGAGAGTCGACCTCATTATGACCTACCGTATCCCACATCTCGGTGAGTTCCCCATGCTAAGGCCAATGCTGCACTTACGAGGGCCATGCAGCACACGCGGACACAGATACAAATTTGTCGTGCCGGATATGTGAAGCGAGTTCCCTACCCACTGTGCTTCGAACGGAGAGTGGTAAATATTTGGAACAGTTTGCCTGAACATGTGATGGAGGCAGCATCTGTGCAGCAGTTCAAAACGTTGTTAGATTTATATTTTACCACTATTCGATTCAGAGAACGATTGCACACTTACGATGACATGTCACATTTGTGAATCCTGCAATACCGTGAGTCTGATATTTTAAATGTTACATGAGAACGGTAACGATATTCACGGCAGACAATTTTTATAACGTTTTTCACTATATTTCGAAAGAGTTGTACAGAATTCATTTCTACTTGCTCCATAATACAGTATTCAGCTTACATTTTGCATGTATTGTGTTTGCGACTGAGAAGAGCAATCGAAATGTCAACATCTCGCAACATTTGTCATCTTTGTTCAATAAGAAAATAAAAGCCGCATGGGTAGTCCCAGTGTTGGCATCCACGAAATATAGATGCGAAATCGGTGTGGATAGCCACTGTAGACATATACACTGGCCAAGTTACAAATGCTGTGCAAAACTGGGATAATCAATTGTGAATTCGTCGCGGAAGCTTCCGAAACAGATAGTCCCTCACACATCCGGAAACGCACTAGACGGCCGATGGACCGTCGGGTGTTTTGGAACACCCGCATCCATCAGGATCCGAACCCATGACCACTAATAGTTTATGTCATTGAGTCATGTGAGATACCGGAGGACCGTCATGATTTACAAGCTAACGGCGATATAGAGCGTCTTACTCTCCAGTGTAATGTAAATAACGAACGTTATAGAGGACAGGGTTCATCGTGAAAGAGGACTTTCACTGACAGTGACCATGTACTGAATACTGAGAATAGAGAGCGAGATGAGAAAAATCTGTGTTGCGCCCTCGTAGGTGGATCGGGCACATGCGCGGAATCATGTCGCTGATTTCTGCGCGGTGGCAGCATATTGCAGTCGCACTATAGCTTATCTGGGTGCGATATGCTCATACACCTGTAGTCCGCAAAGTGAGCGATTTAGCCTCGACTAGCGTCTCCGGCAACTTGTTCCAATATTTCACCACTACTGTTTGAGTTTACTTTCAACATGAAGATGAATACTGCCTATCGGGAAAGGATAAGACGGTAACAGCCAAACTTCCACTACTTTGAATCATAATATGTATTCGTCCGGAGACAACTCAGTTCCATGCACACTACGAGTAAGCAGGTAGAGTAGGAAACAGCAGCAGGCTCGGGCCTACTCAACTAACACTTATGTTTTATAATTGTAGGTACCTGAAGTGAATTATCGAAAAGAATATTCTTCACAAGCAATTGTTAACTCCTCAATCTATGAGTGTTTTGTTTGTTCGATGCTAGGCCCAATGATATAGGAGGGCCAGATTAAGTTCGCCCGAATTCCAGAGTGCATCTGTGGCCTTCGCAACTAAGATTTCCATTATTAAGTCAACAATCCCACATTGGAAGGGCTATCAGTTACTGAGAAGGCATCAGCAGTGCGCCAGTACGCAGTACCGACACTTCGCTGCCGCGCTACCACTACCAGTCGCACATACGTTAAGGATACTGCGACGGTCGCCCGGTCGGTACACCGGCTCGAACCCGCGCCCTCAGATTACAAGGCATGCTTGTGATCCTTAAGGCTACGGGCCGGACAAGTGGTCGTAGAATGATCCTCTAATGATTCGTGGCCATCGGATGCTATAGCCGAAGTACCACATTGCGAGGGAGTGACAGACAACGCCTTGGGCACATTTGGTCTCGTCATCAGCGCATTTCCCATGATTTCTGCACGTTATTATTCACTGACGATTCGGCGTGTTAACACAACTTTTCAGTGGCGTATATCCATGGTGTATGTCTACAGATCTTTAGAGGAATATATCAAAGTAGTTCCACAGCACTTGGTGTTAGCATTTACTGTTCATCTTAGGAACGTTTCGGAAGTTCACATCCGAAAGTGTACCTGGCAAAACAGTATGTGAGACAAAAGCCAATCCCTCGGATAACAGCCACTGATAAGTAACCGCACAATTAGTCATTCGGGACACCCCGCCTTGACGGCAAACACGTCTGATTCTCCTTTCGCGGCGGCGGCGGCAGCAGCAGTAACAACAAAAACAACGGAAGCAGCAAGGCGTGGTTTGACTACTATTTTTGGCTTCCACACGGCTGTGTGCGATCTCTAGTATTTTTCTTGCACTGCTGGCGATTGTTGAAACTGCGAAACAGTTGTACAAGGCCTTCCGGAATGCTCGGACTTGTTTCGACTGAATCTGGATGCGAATATCAAATTTCTACTCAAGTATAACCAGTTTAGTTGACATGCATACCAATCCCCGGTAGGGATTACGAGCTTAGGAAGATGGTGTGCAGCTGTAACCATAGCACCCATGTGTTGATTCACATTAATTGAAGCGAATAACCTGTGGTGTCGGCAAATGAGTGTGTGCAAATAAGTTCCCATTCTTTCCAATGGAAGTTTACGCCCCCTCAGGAAACTATCATATTACATATTGAGGATTTGCCGTCACGTTCTGTCTCATACAGTAAACTACGGAGAAGCAATATATTGATGGGTTTGCGTGGATGACGGAGATTCATACGAGGAGTTGATGTAGTGATCTTGGTTTGCTTTGACACGTCTATACATTAACTGAGGTGGATTATTCAAATGGGGTGAATTACACTCGTTTACGCATTGCGGACTAAGTGCTTTTGTATAAATGACGAAACCGTATGGGGCAGCGATGATATTACAGACGCTCTACCAGAGCAAGTACAGCTAAAATGGCGAGAGATTATACTATTTGTTAACACTTGATGGAATCAATTCATACCATAATCATAGCAGAGCTGTTGCTTGGTCACGCCTACACGTGCCTTCCCTCTTAACTTGATGCTTTGAAAGGCCGTCTCACCATGCAGGTGACGTTGATGTCAGACCGATGGCTTTCATGGGATTAGACGTTACCTGTAGAGTCGAAGGATTTCTTAACGGGCACCGTATTGTGTAGGGAACGTTCGATTCAGTCTGTTTCTGAGTATCGCTGTGAAACATTAAAGCTTTCGGCATCAGTTGCAGACCGGATATTTACATAATAGTAGCATAAAGAAGCAGATGGCTAAAATGCTTGAAACACCTTACTGCAATTAATTCTATACAACTTCCTCTCGGATGGGAAACATCTGGGCTTTCGGATGATTTTTAGGCTACTACGAAGTGGGCGACACAATTATTGGGCAGGTGAGGTATACTGTCATCACGGTACAACTAAGCTCCCCATTAGCATTCCTAATGATGACGGACATCAGTATGTAACAGTTCCATTGTTCACTCGGTGAGTAACTAGGGCGACACAAAAGAAGCATGCTCGTTAACAAAAGCGGCGGATACCCATGTTAACGCATATGAGATATTAGATAGCATAGTTTTGCCGGACCAATAGTTGAATCATGAAAGAGAATGGGGCACAACAAGTAGTAGTCCTTGAAACTTAGTTTCCCATAACGTATTGGACAGATACGTATCCTAATTGCACCGCTGTCAATGGAACAATGGTATAATGCGGATAAAAAGCCAAGGCTTGACAAGTTCCGTATGCTGGTTTGTGTGTGTGTGTGTGTGTGTGTGTGTGTGTGTGTGTGTGCAAAAAGGCACAATAAAGGGAAACGCGCATCTGTGAACGCACCATATGATCCACGTTAACACAAAATTATATATAAGTCTAC